ACTTGCTGAGGGTGCACATTCTCCCCTCATCCATGGCCAATCATAAGTTGAACAAGACCGGATCCGGTACTAAGCCCTGGGGAACGCCGTAGCTACAGCCATCTGGCTGCACTCTGTGGTGCTGATCGCAACCCTCTGGGATCTGCCATTCAGCCAGCTCTTGCCCATGAGAATAATGTGGAAGACAGCGTCAAAAGCCTTGCTGAAGTCAAGGCAGACATTATCCACTGCTCTCCCCTCATGTACCCAACCAGCCATTCCATCATACAAAGCTATTGCATTGGTCAAGCATGATTTCTCCTTGGTGGATCCATGCTACTACTTCTGACAGCCTTCTTTTTCTCCGCATTCTTAGATATGACAACCACGATCAGCCACTGCATACCCTTCCAGGAATTATGGTGAGGTTAACTGGCCTGTAGTTCCCTGGGTCTTCCTTCTCGTTCTTTTTGAAGTTCCTTATGTTCTCAGGCACCTCTTCTCTTCTTCATGATCTTACAAAGATCATGGAGAGTGGTTTAGCAATAACATCTCCCAGCTCCTTCAGCACTTGAGGGTGCATCCCATCAGGGTCCGTGGGTTTGTGGGAGTCAAGTTTGCCTTGACACCCACAACTCTAACCTGATCCTCCTCAACCAACACAAAATCTTCCTTTCTCCAGACTTTCTCATTTGCCTACAGGTTAGGGATTCCTGAGGGCTGCATTAATGGTAAAGACTGAAGTAAAAAAGACATTCAGTAAGTCTGCCTTCCCCATATCCTTTGTCATCATCAGCAGTGGGTCCACATTTTCTCTAGTCTTCCTTTTGCTACTGATGTACTTGAAGGAGCCCCTCTTGTTGTCCTTGACATCCCTTGACAGACTTAATTCCAAGTGAACCCTAGCCTTCCACAAGACATCCCTGCAGACTTTGAAAACATTCCTGTATCCCTCCCAAGTGCCCTGTCTCTTTCTCCACATTCTGTAGGCTCCCTCTGTTTTGCCAGAAGCTCCTTGCTCATCCATGCAGGTCTCCCGCTCCCTTTGCTTGATGTCTTACCCGTGGGGATGCGCTGACCATGACCTTGGAGGAAGTGATGCTTGAATATTAACCAGTTCTCTTGGCTTCCACTACTGCCTAGAGCCCTGAAGTAATGGGATTCCTCCAAGTAGGAGTCATTACCTAACCAGGACACGGCAAGTATCTCAAAGTATCTTGAATTGACACAGCCTCACATCACTCATGTTCCATAAGGAATCAATTTTTAAAGCATTTTCACTGCTTCACCAACACTCTAGTGCAATAAACTAATGCAATGTACTGATGATTATCATAATTTTTACTCCGTTAGCAGGAGCTGCACGTCCTCCTTCATGTTTAGAGAAAAATAGTGGGTTTTTTTAATGGTACCTCTGTATTTCCGAGAAATTAGCTCATGACTTGCAATATCCCTGGTTAATTTAGCTTATTTCTCTAGAAAACTGTCAAAAATACTAGTATACAAAAAGCAACTAAGACAGTGTAAGTGGTAAAGTGTAATTGGCCCTATAATATGTGGACTAAAAAAACAAAAAAACCCCACCCCTCCCTAAAATATACTGTCCTGAAGGAAAGGTGTATACGTATCTGTCTTACTGCTTGGCTAATCTCACCTCTAGTACATCAGTCTCATCCCACACAGTTCTGTTAAGTTAGCTTTCCACTCTCCATCCTGCTTGCCACCTTTTATTTGCTTCACTTCTGAACAAGTGAAAACCAGATATGAGGGGCAGCAATGGACAGCGGAGGGCAAAGCTGCCTCCCCTCTGCAGAGGACTCCAGATGAAGGCACTAGCCGCTGTTTGCAGTTTTCCCAAGCACAGATTGACCATGTAGGTGACTTAAGGGCAATGATAGCAAAGAGCCAGATTTGACCCTTGTCAAATTTACAGATTTCCAGTCACTACATTTCAATTTGCTCTTTTACTCAAGAAATCAAGTGCACTGTAAAGGGAGGGAAATAGGCTTTCCATATCCCTTTAAGGAAGAAAATAATTTTGTATACTGACAACAGCAAGGAACATTCAACCTTCAATTCAGTGCAGGAAAAGTGCCAATACTATGTAGTAATCACTATTTTTGCTCAAAACCAGGAATATCACCAATTATCTCAAACAGCAGCATTGTGGAGAGATCCAGACCACGGAAATAACAAAATAATGGATCTTTCCTTGTAAATAAACTTTGTTTCTAAACAACACTGGCTTTCAATGGTTTTTCTCCCTCGGAAACAGCAGCAGCTAAAACCAATAAGCAGATTTCCCTAGAAAACTTAATATACTTTATTGTACATTTGCGAATGTTTTCCCTTTATTAAGATGTTATTTACAAAACCAGTACAGAACATTAGCATGTAAATTATTCAGTGCACCGTACGCAGATGTCCAAATCCAAAGCAGATCCCGATTTCTCTTTGTTGACTGCTGTGATGTATCACTGAGAAGCACTTCTGTATGCTACAGAAACAACACCTGACTGCAAATCATATAGCACGACACAAATCAAGCAGACTTGCCAAAAGTCCATAGGTGTTCTGTATTGACACTGAGTGAAGGAGAAAACATTCTTGAAAGAATCTTTGAAAATCATTTTTTCTCTTGCTGCAGCAACCGTTTTTGTTAGCATTGAATCTATAGCATCAATTTTGAACAAACCAAGATGGACGTTTCCTGGCTCTTTCAATGATCCGTTTGCCTTCATCTTTTTCTGAAGGCTTTTCTCCATCATAAAGGACAACAGTCTCTACAGTTGGAGCTTTAAATGGTCCTCCTTCCTTTTTGCGCATTTCCACCCGTATCAGATGAGTTTCTGCTTTGACCTTTGCGTAGCAATAGCCACAAAGGACGTGTTTCTGTTTCAAGTTTCCACACTCAGGACAAACATCTATGTTCCTCTGAAACGATAGTGGAAAACAGGGAATTTTGTAATTTGAACAGCAGCAACAAAAGAAACGGGAAGCAATCACAAACTACTAAAAAATTTACATGAAATACCAGAGAAGTTCAATTACTATTTAAAAATCTATTCTTCTACATAATTTTTCTGTAATGTGTTACTATGTCAAATGCTTACTCCTAAAAGCAGCCTGTGAAGTCTGGTATTTAAGTCATTATGCTTATTGATGACTCAATTAGATGCATAGAAAGCATAGAGCTTTTCCACTTACACTATCTGTTCAGCCAAAATTCACATTTTGTTAGGCTTGCACCTAAAGTCTCACTGTTTATTTAACGACAGACTATTGTCACACATGATGAATGCACCTCTTCCAAAGGATTTTAGAGACTACAGTGTCTTTTACGCTTCTTTATTTATAAACAAACTCCAGAAAACTTCTTCATTCAGCACCAACAACTGCGATGATTCTCTAAAATAAGCGAGGTGAAAAACGATGAGTGTAAACATTACTCTGTCCTGTTTGCCACCGACAAAATTACTCGCGGTGGGTACGGTGCCAAGGCAGCGAAAACTCGCTGATTACCTTTAGTGCTATGAGCTTCCTGGGATTCCTCCGCCGGCAGCGGTTCACCTCGATGGTGCGCCGTTTCTTGGGCACTGCCATCCACAGGATGCTCTCCAACAGACCCGGCCCTTCGGCGCTGCTTTCTCCGGCGTCATTTGCTGCTGGTGGAAGAACAGCTGGAGCTTGCACAGCTAGCGCCGGTCCTGAAGGAGAAAGAAAAAGAGGAAGGGTATTGTCCTGCTCTGCTCTGCACTGGTGCGGTCTCACCTTGAATATTGTGTGCAGTTTTGGTCACTGCAACATAAGAAAGATATTAAGCTCTTAGAGAGTGTCCGATGGAGGGCAACAAAGGTGGTGAAGGGACTTGAGGGGAAGCCATCTGAGGAGAGTGTGAGGTCACTTGGTCTGCTCAGCCTTGAGGAGGTTGAGGGGAGACCTCACTGCAGTTTAACAACTTCCTTGTGACGGGAAGAGGAGGGGCAGGCATCTCTTCTCTATGGAGACCAGTGACATGACCATGGGAATGGCCTGAAGTTGTACAAGCAGAGGTTTAGGTTGGATCTTAGGAAAAGGTTTTTCACCCAGAGAGTGGTTGGGCGCTGGAACAGGCTCCCTAGGGCAGTGGTCACAGCATCAAGCCTGACAGTTCAGGAAGTTTCTGGACAATACTCTCAAGCACACAGTGTGACTCTTGGGCTTGTCCTGTGCGGGGCCAGGAGCTGGACTCAACGATCCACTCAAATATCCACTCAATAACCCTAACCCTTACAACTTAGCATGTTCTGTGATCCTGCGGAAGACAAATTCCTTACAGCCAGGCCCCACTTCCGCGGGCGGCCGCGGAAACACGACACGATGCTGCCGCCACCCCCTAAGGAAGGCGCTCAGAGCGGCGGCTCCCGCCCCGCGCCCTCACTGACCCCAGGGCCGCGCCCCAGCCGTTCAAAGGTAAAACGAGTCCCGCAGCCCCGAAGCACAGAACTGCAGAGATGCAAGTGGTCTCTGGAGATCATCTACTCCACCCCCCCCACTAAGGCAGGGTCACTTAGAGCAGGTGGCACAGGAACGCGTTCCGTTTCATCAGCTGGGCAGAGAACAGGCCGGAACTTACCCCAGGGCGGGCTCTGGCCCCCAAGGCCGCCCGGGAAGAGGCCGCGCTCCAGCCGTCCCCAGCAGCGCTGGAGGAGAGCGCGAACCGACGACAAGGGAGAGCGGACCAGCACCAGCACCGCCATGGCCGCGCCCAGCCCTCCGGAGAAGCGCGCCTGTCGCTGAGCCTCCTGGGAAACTGAGTGCCCGCCGCACGCCGCAGCACAACAGGGATACGGGGCGGGAACTCCAACTCCCAGCATTCCAGTCGCTGCCGGGAGGGAGGGGCAGAGGCGCGGTGCCTGCAGGACTCCAACTCCCAGTGCTCCTCACGGCGCGCCTCTCTGCCAACTGCGTCCCGGCAGGCTCCGCCACGCGCCGCCACCGCGCCAATCAGCGCGCTCGCCGTGCCCTCGCGCAGGGAGCGGGAGCGGCGGCCGCGCGTGCGCGCGAGGGAGCCGGCGCGGAGAGCGCAGGGGCTGGTGCCAAGATGGCGGAGCGCGGCTACAGCTTCTCCCTCACCACCTTCAGGTGCCGGCGCAGGGGCGGCTGCAGACCCGGGGGCAGCGGCGGGCGGGCTGCCGGGCCAGCGGGAGGGCGGCGCGCAGCCTGCACCGAGCGGTCTGACGGCGGCAGCGACGCAGCACCGAGGGGTCGCTTTGCAGAGTCATCGGGCCTGCGGGCGGGCGCTGGGGGGCAGCGGGGGCTGGACCTGCACAGGAGGGGCGGGTGTGGGGATCGGGCGGTGCTGCCTTTGCCCGAGGGGGACATGTAGCTGCACAGACTCTTGCCGACCTGAAGGGCTGCCGGCGCCCCCGAGGGCCGAGGCGGAGGCTGCGGGAGAGTCCCGGGTCTCACCGGCTGTCTGTCGCTGACCTCGGGGCCCGGTGCGGGCGCTGCTTGTGTCTCCTCGTTGCAGGCCAAGCTAAGGTCTGTCTCGGCACTGGCCCTGCAGCGAGTGCTTGGTGAAACGGCTTAGCAAACTCAGGTGTCCCCCCCACACACACACTTTAGGCTGGGGAGTAATTCTGTCGTTCTGAGCTAACTGGAAATGCGTGATGACAGCTGAGCTGTGGTATCTTGAGAGCTTGCTTCATAACGGGCTTTGCAGATGCGGGAACAAATGAAGCAGATGAGTTATAAATTAGTATATTTCCCTTCTTGCAGTCCCTGCTCTCCATGTGCTTCGTGTTGTGCACAGCCTGGATGTGGGATGGTTGCATGCACAGAATGAATAGGCTGCTGTTGGAGTGGTGTCTGTTGAGATGTTGCTCTAATACACAGACTTAAGATTAATTCAGAGAGAAGGAAATTACCTTCCATTCATTTTTTGATGAAACTATGAAGCTATCCAGGACTATGTTATACATGCAAAAAGGAAAAACTGCCAAAAAAGCAAGAACCTTTGTGCAGCTTGTGGTGAAGTTAGATCCCCTTAACCTCAGAGGACAGTTGTGCTGTGTAATTGCAGATTGAGTTGCTAAAGGCTTGTTGCAGTTAAACAAATAAAACAGTTCGTGACCTAAAATGATGAAAAGAATGTTCTTATTGGATGGAAGCAGCCCAGCACGCTTGCTGTGCTCTAGCAGGTTGAATTCTCTATTAGCTCTCGGAAATCGTTTCCTGGGGGAGTTACAGACTTCTTGTATTGCACAGAATGTGCACTATGTACTTGGAACTGTTGTTCTGATTTGTTAGTATTCTCTAGTGGAGAAGCTGGAATTATTACTTTGTCACCTTTATAACCTATTTCCTCAGTGTATAAATGACTACACTGATTGGTTATGGCTTGCTTTCTGACTCATCTAAGCAGTAAGTTACATAATTTTCTATTTTACTTCTGCAACTGTTAAAGCAGTCCTGTCTGAAATACAGCCCAGGGAGTAGATCCCACTTGCAAAATCACTTGTCCAGTGAGTGGCTGTCTCTGTGCTGTTCTTTTTACTGGAGATCAAGAACAGACCCCTTGATCCCACTACTTATGAGTAAGTTACTTTGCCAGTTGAACACCTTCAGCTCTGTTCTGATGATTCTGCATCCATTACCAGCACATTGATTGTTAAAATGAAATTCAGGAGTGCCTGGAACTGGAACAGGGGTTGTTTCTGTCTTGTGCTTATCAGTCAAAAAGCATAGCTGTGTTTTGCTGGTGTTGAGCAGTGAAAACTTTTGGACACCACACATATAACGTATATCATGAGTAGAAACGGATGACATTCTCTGAAGATTTTTCCCTCTGAGTGGAAAACTGGTTTAAAATGGTATAGAATTGGAGAATGGACTTGTCCTTCTTCAACCTGCATCCCAGTCATTGCTCCCTATCTGAGACTTCTTAGCTTCCATGAGGGCTGTAGGCTGATGCTGTGTGAGTATCCCAGTAGCAATCTGCAGCAGTGACTTCTGTGATAAACCAGTCCAGCTCTTTTAGAAGCTCTTAGGAGTCTTCAGACCTGTGGGGATTTGTTGTTTGTTTGTTTTTTTTCTTTAAATTCTAGTCAGAATATGCTGTTGCCAGATGTAAAGAGGCTTAAAAAAGCAAGTTGGCATCAGATTGTTGTGGGAAAGATTTGAGGACATCAGAATTATGTTAATCTTTCTTTTGAATCTTCCTTTTTAGTCCTTCTGGAAAGCTTGTTCAGATTGAATATGCTTTGGCTGCAGTAGCTGCAGGAGCTCCATCAGTTGGGATTAAAGGTATGTCCAGAAAATAACTACTTTAGTGAAGGATTTGGGATTCTGACTATAATTTGAGAGAACTAAATCAGTTTGGATTATGTACTGGGTCCTGTGTATTGGATCTTTGTTTATCTTTCCTTCTGTTACATATTTTGTTACTCTTTCAGTGGATTTTCACATATTTTAATAGGTTTAGTGTTTTCTGGGGTTCTTTTCTGGGTGATTCTGTAGATGGTCAGGTGGTAGAGATAGATGTTTGGTTTGGGTTTATTTTTGATTGTTCCTGTCCTTATATGTTGAAATTACACATAAAAAATAGTTACTTCGATTGCTCAATTATTAATATGTAATTCAGAATCTTTAGAATGGGACTGTGGGAGCTGTACAGTTATTTAAAATGAGAAACAATGTGTTGGGTGGATTCATCAAAGTATGTCTCTTTAACACGATTGTAAACTTAAAGAGTTTTTTAAAAAATAGAGGAAGAAAATTTTTACAGTCTGATAAACTTGTTCTGTGTTTTGACTGCTTTCCATAGTTTTAATTTAATATTTAAAAAAATTTCTTGTTGTTTTCCAGCTGCAAATGGAGTGGTGTTGGCAACTGAGAAGAAGCAGAAATCCATTCTGTATGACGAAAGGAGTGTCCACAAAGTAGAACCAATTACCAAACATATAGGATTAGTGTACAGTGGAATGGGTCCAGATTACAGGTATGAAAACATCTTGTTTGATCACTATTTAGATCCATTTTCTTACAAGAAGTGTAAGAAGCAGGTAGCAACTAGCTGTTTCTAAGTCTTGCTAACTAAATGTTGAAATACCATATTTTATTATAATAAAATTACATTCACTTGAAATTTTCCTCAATATATGCAATACCTTGTCAAATAACCTTTCATCTGAAGAATGAAAGCAGTGTTATTCAACCTGAGTTTCAGTTTAAGTGTTTCAGAGATTACTCAGTTGATCAAGGTAAGCCAGCACAGTCTGTTTTCTTACATTAATGTTACGACAGGTGTACAACTCCGTAGCATTGTATTTAGTATGAGTTTTCAGTTGCAGTTGGAATTTCTTTGGCATAGTAATTTTGTCTTTGTTTTTAGAGTACTTGTGCACAGAGCTCGGAAGCTGGCCCAGCAGTATTACTTGGTTTATCATGAGCCCATTCCAACAGCTCAGCTAGTACAGAGAATCGCTTCCGTGATGCAGGAATACACGCAGTCCGGGTATGTGGTGGAATTGCAAAGTTGCTTAGAAAGATGTTTTTTAAAAGTAAGGAGTAACAGCTACTCAGTGATGCAAGTTTTTGTGTCAAAGACAGTTTTTCAGTGGAGAACATGCACAGAAAGTGGGCCAGTGGGAGGAGTGTGGACTGGCACCAGCTGAGTCTCCATATCTTGCAAACCAACACATCAGACAAGGCAGCATACTTTTGGGTTTGTTCTGGTGGTTGACTAGCCATTCCTTATCACAGCTCCGGTCTGGTGGGAAGCTCCGATCTGGTGGGAAGTATTTGGGGGAAGGTTAACACATCCAAAATAATTTAGTCACCTTTGGCTTTCACTGAATAATTTATCATTTTGTTTTCCTGTAGTGGTGTTCGTCCCTTTGGTGTGTCACTGCTAATATGTGGCTGGAATGAAGGGCGGCCGTATTTATTTCAGTCGGATCCATCTGTAAGTATCTTACATTTGTAAATTCTGCTGCTTTTGTAAAACATGTGAAATTTCACAGGTGCTCATGAAATAGTTTTTGTGATGAGAGCAGTGCAGAGCTAGAACAAAAGATACCTTAACATAACTTCAGAAGTTAAAATGAGCCATTTCAGTCAGCGCTTGGAGCAAGTCTGGATCATTCTGGACCTACATGTTACTGCTTGAGGGATGGGAGCTGCTTTTGAGGGAGATCACCAACCCTTTTCATGCATTCCCTAGTTGATTGTGGCAGCAAAAATGGCCTTCTGCAACAGATACCAGAAAAACAAATGTCTGCTTACGCTGCTCAAAACTGAATGGAAGTTTAGTCAAAACCTGCTGTATTGTGAAACATAATGCACGTCTTAATATTTAATGACAGTGGTTAAGTGAGTTTATTTGCTGGGTTTGCCCTGTACTTCTGAAAAACTACCCTTTGATGCACGTGTGAGGTGCAGTGCTTCAGACAAAAACAACGAGGTCACTGTCATGATCATCAATGAGCTTCAGAAGTTTGACTTAGTGTCTGATTCCCTGAAGTAAAAAGCAAAATGCAGATGACTTAAGGCATAGGCCTGCTGATAGTCTTCATGCCAGAGAGAATAGAAGTGATGGCTAAATATCCTGTTACTAGCTAACATAAATCAGATGGCTGATTTGCAACAGGTTGTTTATACTACCTAATCTTCAAAAAAGAGAGTGGAGTGAACCTCGTTAAGGATCTGACTGTACACTTTCTCAAAGGCAAACATACTATTTCTGTTTAAGGAATTCCAAAGTAGTGGGAGGATGAAAATAGGTGGGGCCCTCTACAAATGTTCTGTACTTTTTCACAGCATATGTTACTGTATCAAATTAGTCTGAATGTGATCCAAAATTATCTCCCATAGTCTCAGAACATTCAGTAATTTCATAGTTGTTGCTATACTTGTATGTATTGAATACGCAGTCTTTGACTAAAAGTCACACAAAACATTTCAATAGATTGTTGCTTTTACAGGGAGCTTACTTTGCATGGAAGGCAACAGCAATGGGAAAAAATTATGTCAATGGGAAAACATTCCTTGAGAAAAGGTAATGTATTTGATACTTGTCTGAAAGGATACTGTGTTTTGTTCAGGTTCCACGTAAAACAGCCAGATTAAAAAAAAGCACACCTTTTTAGATTATCAGAACAAAGTTTTAAAATACTTAAGATGTGATGCTTCTAGTTTACTTACTTAGGGATGCACAGGAAATTTGACTTATTTAAACTCCAACTTTTGTGTTTATGGAGAATTGTTTGAGTGCAATAAACATATTCAACATATTTGCAGCAATATTGTTATATACAGTGTCACTATGAAAAGTACTGATTCTTTTTTTGACAAATAATAACTTTGACTAATAATGTTACAGGGCTCACAAATAATATTTGTATGAGAAAGATTTTAGTACTGTTTGGGTTTTTAGAGATTCCAGGATTAGTAAAATTTGGAAAGGGCTTTGTCCCATGCTGAAACACATGAATGTTTGTTTGCAGATACAATGAAGATTTGGAGCTCGAAGATGCCATTCATACAGCTATTTTAACACTAAAGGTGAGCAAAATACTTAAGAAAGAAGTTTCTTATGTTATGACTTCATTGATATGATCCACTGAACCGCATTTTCTTTAATAGGAGAGCTTTGAAGGGCAAATGACAGAAGACAACATTGAAGTTGGCATCTGTAATGAAGCTGGTTTTAGGAGGCTCACTCCAACTGAGGTTAAAGACTACTTGGCTGCAATAGCCTAGTAGAAACCGAGCAAGACTGTGTGGTTCACACAGAGGTCTTTTTAATTTTGGCTACTTAAATGTTTTTCTTTGCAGTTTTTGCATACTTATTTCTACATGGTTTGTCTGAGAGATTTTTTAAACATCATGGGTGCAAATACAACGGTCCTTAATATTGTAATACATAAAATCTTGTTAAAGATAATTCTTTCCCTTGATACACAAAATACTGTACAAAATGTAAAGTTATAGTGACAGCTTGAGAAAGGCTAAAGAATAAAATCGAAGGCCACTGTTTTGGGGGAAAGTGTCTGTGTGTCTTTTTAATCCTAGCTTGTTTATCTGCACAAAGCTTAGATTTCAGTATCTTTATTTTTGAGGAAACAGTTTTTCCCATACAGCTGTGATGGATTCATGGTAGACCTTTTACAGAATCTAAATGTTGAGCGGACAGGATAATTTTTCACTTTGGAATATTGTTTAAATGTTAAGTAATTTCCAGAAATGGTTTTAGCTAGTGTAAAAGATCATGTACTTTCACAAAGAGACAGAACAGTCTTCCATTTCAGGTATGAACTGCAATCTACTTGAGCCTCTCTGCTTTTGACCTTCTTGGTCTTTGTGTCACAAGAACTTGTTTTCCATTACGTAAGTTATTTTCTTGGCCCTAGAAATTGCACTTTTTCAACCCTGAAATATTGTTAGAAAAAGTAGAAGTAATAAACTAAATGCATTTATCACCATCAATAAAAATCAAGAGGAGTTACAAAACAGAATGAGAGTATGTAATGTAATTACTTTATCCCTTGAATTGTCCTCAAATATTTTCCAACTTACAAGATAACTCCAAAGACAGGTGCAGAACTTGGATATTCTTTGTGGGGGGTGTATGTATCAATAAATTTGTTACATATATAGAGTTGCTCAGGTCATAAAGAAACACAGAATTTATTACAAAAGAAACAGGATAAATATATGGGGAGGTTTTCAGCAGAAATTATCTGGTCTGCCACCATTTCAGTTACTGTTTGCAGGTTTTATATTTTTTAAAGCAATCTCATTGTTAAAATGTCGATAATGAACTGGGAGTGACAGCTGGATCCCTCTGCTTGTGTGTAAGCCTAAGGAAGAAGGGGAACTGCCTGGCAGGTTACATGTCAGCCAGCCATAACTGATGAAGAAAATACAAAGTATCAGCCTTCAGAAAGTAGTGTATAACCTAATTGACCTGTGCTTTCCAATGTCTGCTGATGGTTTATATTATCATCAGGTAAATAAGAGTTTCTGAATCATGCCATAAATGAAGTTTTATTTCCTAATGTCAGAAATAAAAGCTCTGTCCAAACAGTTCCTCCAGATCACTTTTTGAGTATTTGGTTCTGAGAACCAGTCCACACTCTGATCCTTATTCTGGAGAAAATTTAATAACTCGGAACTGAAACTGAAGACTTTAGATTGCTGCATCTTCAATTTAAAATGTTTACACACAATCAGGTTTTTTAATGCTATATAAATATTGAAAAGGGTTTTCTATATGAAAAAGTGTAAGTATTTCAGAAAATTAATAGCTTGAACTGCAGTAGTTTAGTTGTCTCTGCTACTAGAAGCAGTTGATTAGCAAAGAACACCCTATGAAGGGTAGTTGAAGTCAAAGCAAGTTTCAAATCATGTTTTCTCACTGCCAAGATGGCAACAGTGGGAGAAACAAAAAAGTCTTTTGACTTTTGGGGACTGTGGTTTTAATTTTTAAAAAATTGAGCACCATCCAACTGTAGAACATTACTAATTTACGTGTGGAAAGGGAAAGGGAAAAAACCAATGTCATCCATAGTTTCCTGTGGTTTAATAATTTAAATATAGTAATTGTTCTGTGCATTGTACAGAAGCTGTTGTGTTCACAATTAGGAAAATGCTGTCTTTGAGATACCTGATAATAGTTGTAAATGTTGAGGGGGTGTTTTCCCCCCCATCCTGCCAGGACAGGCAATCATTACAGCATGGGGTAGTTTTAACGCTGCAGTACTTGGAAGTGTTGCTGAGTTTACTTCATGGTGTCGTGGTCCAACGTTGCAAATGGGTGGCAGCATGAAGCTACTACGTTTGTCAGATACTCCGAATGACCACCTCTAGTTGCCAGGTTGCTTCAGTGAGTGCTTTTTGGGAACGGGTAAAATAATGTTTGATTTATTTTTCAATGGTGACACATTTTTCCTATGAGAACAAATAGAAGTGTGCCTTGGAAAAATGAGAACACTATCACTAGGCTCCTTTTACAACAAAAAGCTTCAAAACCATGAGTAGTTGTAACTTAGCTGGCCACAAAGTGTGACTATGCTTCATTTAGCTTGTTCCTGTTCTGAAAGAAGAGACACTGCTCACTTAATGCAGGTGAGGTTGATTTGTTTGTCCTGCAAGGTGGTCTGCTCTGAGGTAGAGCAGTGTGACACCTATGAGAATTGGGATTAATTAACTAGTAGGATTGGGCTCTGAAAACAGTATCATCATTTTATGAAGTTATTACTTTAAGTCACAGAATCACAGGATGGGCCAGGTTGGAAGGGACCACAGTGGGTCATCCGATCCAATGTTCCTGCTCAAGCAGGGTCATCCTAAAGCACATGGCACAGGATTGTGTCCAGTATCTCCAGTGAGGGAGGTTCCACAACCCCTCTGTTACAGTGCACAGTCACCCACACAGTAAAGAAAATACAGGTGCAGTAAGCCCCTTACAACTTTCTTTGTCTTGCTATGGCTTTCCAGATCTTGTGAAATCATTTAGGCCCTTACTCCCTGCAGGAACCAGTGATCAGAAGGCAAGTTTCTCCCATGTAGGTAGGGAATATTTCTGCATGGAGAGAGGCAAGACCATGGCTTTCTCTGCTGCACAAAGGCAGGCAGCAACTTGGGGCAAGCATGGGGAACACTTGCTCACATTTAGCACAGATTTGTTTTGTATGGGTTCTTTTTGTTGTCCAAGCTTGATGGATCCAATGGGCATGGTTCCAATATGCACAGAGCCAGGGCTGCTGTTTCTCTGCTGAAGTTGAAAGTCCAAGGCTAACTTGTTTCTGGCCTGTCTGTTCCCACTCTGCTCTGCATTGGTGAGGCCTCACCTTGAATATTGTGTGCAGTTTTCATTACCACAGTATAAGAAAAATATTAAGCTGCTAGCATCCAAAGGACTGCAGCTTTCCCTCTTCCTTGAGAGGAAGCCGTCTGAGGACTGGTTGAGGTCACTTGGTCTGTTCAGCCTGGAGGAGACTGAGGGGAGACCTCATTGGAGCCTACAACTTCCTCATGAGGGGAAAAGGAGGAGGAAACACCAGTCTCTTCTCTGCGGTGACCAGGGACAAGACAAAGGGAATGGCCTGAAGTTGTGTCAGGGAAGGTTTAGGTTAATTTTAGGAAAAGGTTCTTCACCCAGAGGGTGTTTGGACACTGTACCAGGCTCCCCAGAGAAATGGTCACAGCACTAAGCCTGACAGAGCTCAAAAAGTGTTTGGATGATACTCTTGGGCACATGGTGTGACTCCTCGGGATGGTCCTATGCAGGGCCAGGAGACGGACTCGATGATCCTTGTGGGTCCTTTCCAACTCAGCATGTTCTGTAACTCTGGCAGTGTCTGACCTGACGTAATGCCCTTGGTCCTTGCAGGGCTTTCTGGACAAGCCGCGGACACGCCGCCGAGCGCGGCCAGGCCGGGCGGGCCGGGCCCCGCCGAGCGAGGCGGGAGGTGCCGTGTCCCCGCCCGGCGGCCCCGGGGGAGGTGCCGGCCGGGCCGAGCAGCCACACGCCACGCCGGCCCGGGGCGAGGGCTGTGGCCGCCGGGCTGTGAGTACGGGCTGTGGGGGCCGGGGAAAGGCGGCGGACCCGGAGGAGGGAGCGGGGCCGGGAACGCCCGGAAAGGCGAGGCTGGCCCGGGCACATCGCGCCCGGCAGCGACTGGGGGAACGATGGCAACAGTGAGGACAAGGGCTGGCGTCCCGCAGCCGCCCGCGTCCCGCCGCCCGCCCTGCTGGGGGGCCGGGGTGTGGGCGGAGGGCGATGCCGGGGGGAGACAGCACCGCCGGCCCGGGGGCGAGCACTAAGGGCGCTCTGCCCTCACCTAAGATGGCGCCGCGGCCTCCCTGGCGGCGCGGTCACGTGATGGCGGAGCGGGGGCGGGGAGGGGCGGTGGCTCCCGTCGGGGTCCGCCCGGGGAGCTTTGGGCCCCGGGGCGAAAGGAGGGGGCAAAGGGGAGCCTGTCTGTGAACCCGTGGGTCGTAATGGGGCCACCGTGCAGTCGTTGTGCTGAGAAAGTATTTGGGTTTGTGGGTTTACTCGCACTGCGGCCCTTGATGCTGGCTCTGTGTAAGTCTCAGTGTGCGTGTAGGAGTTGCAGCTGCTGTGGGGAGAGGTGCCCAGGTGCTAACCGTGGGGCTTTACTCGCCGATTTACACACAGGAATAAGCTTGTAGGAGAAGACTTTGGGGGAGGAAGGGTGATTTCTCTGCTTGGACTCTGAAGAGAGTCGGTAGGTCCGATCAGAAGGCTCTGGGCTTCTTGGTCAGGTAGAACATGTTGGATGTTGACCGGGCCAGTAGCAGCTGTTTCCCCTTGTGCGGAGTGCAAGGGTGATTTCCACTCCTTGAAGGCGGGCATCACTGCTGCAGTGGCAGAGCCTCTCGTAAGATTCAGGCTGTGTCATGTTGCTCATTTTCAGCTGAAGCTTCGTTTGTCTTGTCCTTTAACACCAGTTTGCTTTGACATGCAGGTTAGGTAAGAATGACAGGAAGAATTCGTATGTTTATACTTGTAGCTAGGAGTCAAAACTGATTAATTTCACTATTCGCTATGGTTATTTACTGCCCGTCATTGTGCTGTTGTTTGCTGTGGCGTGGATCCTACAGTTTTTCAGCGACAGCACATATTCAGTGAAGTAATTCCTATCATACTTTTCTTAAGGGAAGCATAGTCAAATCATACAAATGCAAAGGAATAGATTTATCAGATGCAGCACAGTACATCTCTTGGTAGAATTAGAAAGCATGGCAATTTCTAGATTCTCCTGACCCTAGAATCACGAATCTGATATATATATATATATATAAAAAATAACACAATGGTTAGGGTTGGAAAGGACATTAAAAATCATCTAGTTCCCCCCTGCTATGGGCAGGGACACCTTCCACTAGACCAGGTTTCTCAAAGCCCCATCAAACCTGGCCTAGAACACTTCCAGGCATGGGGCGTCCACAAATTCTCCGAGGAACCCATTCCAGTCTCTTAGGGGCTCATCCACTGAGTTGAGCAGTGCAAGTTGGAAGCTGGAGAGGATAGAGCTGTGCTCCCCAGAATTGTGAAGTGCCATGGGCTTCCTCTGTGCTGTGTTAGAATACTTGCTGGAGTCAGAGTTCACAGTTTTTATGTGTATCTGTGAGCATGGTGGTAGCTTTTAATTTTAATGATAACTGTGATGAGAGAGGAGGCAAGATTTACTTATGGCATTAACTGTATTTCTAATTTTGCTCTGGATGGCAACTTTTGCAAATGAGCTGTAAGAGTTAACATCTCTCTAAGTGACTGGTTCAGTGAAGGGCCCCTATGTAGGGGAGGAAGAGAGGGTGCTGGAAAGAAACCACAAAGCTGCAAGGTGTGTTTGTGAAGCCTTGAATGCTGCTGTTCTTCCTAGCTGAGAACTGAGATGTTCTGGGTCTGTGGGTTGGATGTCCAAAGGTAAAGGAAAGGAACTGAACTCTTTGCTGGGACTTGTGCTGAGGTTCCAGATGCTTGTGC